AAGAACTCCCCATCATCATCATCATCCTAGTGAGGAACCCTGAAACAGGCAGCCTGCTGCAACACAAGAGAGAAGGGGGCAGGCACTTAGGTCTACCCATTTTATGTTACTAATAATCTAAACTAGGTGATTAGGATTATTGTTGTGATTGCACTAACGGTAAGTGGTTGATGCGCCTTTGAAGCATACATGGACCAAAAATAAAAGGTAATTCTTGGATCCATATAGGTAAAGCATTTTTTTTTGGGTGCCAATACATGAAACTAGGTATGTAATGATTTAAATGTTCATATCCCCCGCAGTGGGGCAGGCAGCGCTCACCTCTGCCCGGCCTGGCTCTTGTGGGAGACACTTACACATAAATTCTTGTCCAGACCAAGAACCTGGGTGATAAAAAAGCCCTTTGCTCTGTGGTTTTACCCTTTCCAAAGGAGTCTCAGCCCCACCTAACCACACCGCGTCGACTCTCCCCCTCTTCCATTCCATCTCAACCACAAACGTGAAGGGCAAGACTCCCCCAAAAAAGGGGGCTTGATCCAGAAGAGAACTCAGGAAGAAATTATTCTTGGTCATGTGAGAGGGAGAAGGCAAGATTGGCCAGGGAGATGAATTTGCTCTGTTATCTTGAGGGCTTCACTGCACAGACTTCACACCTCCCCAAGCCCCAGAGCCAGGCGCAGGGCTGCACATACACCCCGGGCACGCATGCGCACGCACACACACGCTGCTTTATTATTTTTTTTTTCTTAGCAAAAAAATAAAAATTTATTGTCCTCTAAAAAAAAAAAAAATCCATCCTGCCCTTGGAAACTGTGACACAGATTGAGTTCTTTCCAGCCCCACATGCAAATTCACTCTGCCAAGAAAAGAGTCTAAACCAGGTTTCCGACAGCCAAAACACATATTTACAGAGTACGAAAGAGAACGACAGCTGAAATCACAGTTCTATACATGGAATCAACAACACGTTTTACACACCACCGATCACCATTCTGCCAACTTCTACACGGACTAGGTGCTCTTCTGCCCAGTGCCCTTCCTCCTGGGGAAAGCGGGGAAGAGACTGGTCAAGAATTGCCACCAGAAATACTGCAGTGTGTATTATTATTATTTTTTTAAAATGTATACTGTATTTATTTTGTTTTAACATTGGAAGCTACGGAGCGGGGAAGCCCCAGAAATCTCTCCGATGCAGTCACTAGTTTGCAGGAATACTTCACCTTTAACATACTAGGTTTTACATCAGTAACATCTATTTTGCTGTTGGCCATCACTCCAAGGATTATAATAATTCTGGAGGAAAACCACTGGTAATATTCTTCCTTCTCAGATGGGGGAAAAGGAGAAAGAAAGGAGGTTCGGAGGCTGGTGGAACAGCAAGGAATTACTGAGTCCGTTCAGCGTTACAGGCTTCCTCACAGGGCAAGGACTTCTCTTCATTGTCTCAGCTGCACAAGCCTTGCAAGTGGCTCAGGTTCAGCTTCAGAGATGTACAGGAAGTATAAAACCCTTCGGCAGGGGATCAGCTGCAGCAACCCCCTTTGGGGTGGGATCTGCTTAAGGAAAATCTTGTGCTCCAGCTCTGAGACTTTCCCCCAGTTGCTCCTGTGCCACCCTGTCTTTGCCACAGCTGGCGTGCGGCTATACCATCTAAGGCTGGAGATGATCTAAAAGTAGTCCTGTTAGCCCAAAGCGATGCTAAAATTCTTCAGCTTCTGGCTCTCATCTACAGCTCTAGTCTTGCTTTTCGCTATCTATCTACCCCGGATAGTGTTGTCTTAAGCCATCTGCTTCTATATTGGTTTTCCATAATAATGTAAAAGTTTATTGACCTGTAAGACTCCCTTCCCCCAGCTTTTAATTCAGAACTGTCTGACCTGCACAATTAGTCACTGAGGTCAACACTTCTGAAGCTCCCAAAAATTAGGGGAGGAAAATGTCATTATCCAATACGGAGTCTGTGTAGAAGAGGCAGGACCCAGATGTGTTCACAGCTGTTCAGCAACAGCCAGTTGGGCTGCTCATCAAGAAGCCTCGTAGACTAAAACTTGGTTTTGAAGCGTGACTTGGCCAAAAAGGCCCCCTTAGTTCTGATGTGTTACTGCGTGTCTGGTAAAATGGAGTTCCTGCTTCAGAAGGAAGCTTAACAGTACATTACAGGGGCTGTACTTATGAGCACCAGGTTTATTTCAACAAGACTCTTTTTACACCATACAGAAGCTGACCACAGACTCTTGAGCCTTAAATGCAGTGCTGTGATTATAGCTCATCCTTCCTGCCTCGGGCAGACAGTAACAACCGCTGGAGCAGGTCAGAAACGCTGCCCTTTCCCCCTGCTCTCATCCCACTCAGCTATGGAGTTGTCATACAAGTGGCCCCCCCCAAAATATTCACAAAATCCGCAAAAATGAAGTTCTCTTTTCCATCTGATGCTTAACAAAATAATTCACATTTCAGATACTTTTTTTTTTTTTTTTAAAAAAAAGCAGCAAACAAATTCATAGAAACCTAAATTTAGGAAGTGTTTCTTAAAGAACCAGAGGAAAGAGAGAAATAGTCTATGTGCTTGTGCAAAGAGAGTGCTGAGATAAGTTGGGGTGGGGGCAAGGGAAGGGGCTAGTGCTATTTCCTTCAGGCTGTTCTGCCATGAGTGCAGTGTGGCAATGGAAAGTTACAATTTAAGGGCCACAAACAGGGGAAGTTTTGAATTCTTTGGTCCTTCAGTTTTAAGAATAGAAAAACTGTTTTACTCAAAAGGGAAAAATGTGCTTTCTCTGGTCTGGAATTTTCCTTGTACCCCCTGCCCAAGCAGTATGCCCCCACAGAAACTGGAGGCAAATCTCTCGTCCCCCTAGACCCAATAGCCCTGCATCACACCGTGACCGCAAGTCCCATTGAGACAGTCAGAGCTGCCATCAGTGGACAAGTTTCACCTGAAGAAAAGGGACAAAGTGAAGAGTCCCTGTGGGAATCAGATGCAGTCACACAGCCGGGTGCCGGACCGTTCTGAAAAAAAAAATAAGAGGGTTGGCCAAAGGCAGCGTCACCCTGAACAGTCCCACAGGGCAGCAGGAGAGCAGATAAACCACCATGCTAATAAAAAGTAAGTGTTAAACCAATAGCCAAAACAGGCTGATCAGCTCTGGTTCTTATAAATATTAAAGACCTGATTCAAGAGTTTATTTCCTATGATTTAAGTTAGTTACAAAAACTTTTTAGTAAATTTTTATCTTAACTGGGCTTTTTCCTCCTCCCCCCACTTTTTTATTTTTTATTTTTTCCTAAAAAAAACCAGACGTTCACGTATTTATTAAAAGGTCTTTCCTTAAGATCAGACCAAGGCAGATGCACTGCCCCATGGCACAGACATTCAAAGGCTATAACCAAACAACATAGCCACAATAGTCACTCAACAGTGTCTCTCCATAAAAAAAATTAAAAAAACCTGATGCTAGTTACAATAAAATACACATGGAAAAAAAAGCATTTTTACCAAAAAACCCAAAAACAAGTTAATGGGAAAAACATAAAAAAGAACTACACAGAGCTGCACTTAAGAGATCATCTGGGAATGCATATTAACCCCTTCCATGTAAAGGAAAGGTGGAATTATGGAAGCAAACCTAATTATGTCTTTGCATTAAATATGAAGCTTTCTGAGAGGCTCTGGTAAAAATTCAGTTTTCCTACAACAGTGGGATGCTGGAGGTTCCAGTGCTTTTCCAGGTCAGGGAGGGGGAGCACAGGCAGCATCCCTGTGCAAAATAAAAATGTTTAGTCAACTGAGTGGCCTTTTGGTTGAGATCCCAGCAGGTTACTGCAATCCACCTGATGTAAAAATCCAATGGACACACTGGTAAAGAAAGCCACAGGAAAGCTCAGCTACTGGACAGGTCTAAGCTGGTGGCACATCTTTGTCATGCTGGACTTCCTCCGTCACCACAGGCATACACCATCTCTAGCGTGAGGGCTTCTGGACCCAGCAGTCCACAAACAATCCTTGAGGTGCTGACGTAGGCAACATCGATTCCATTAAACAAAAGCATCCTCAGACTACCTGGAATTGTTTCATGCATTTCAGCAGTGACTATGAATCAGGTCCCCGTGGCTAAAACAAAATTAATCTGATCTGAAACAGTAAAAAGTCAGACAGTCACCAGACAAAGGGGTGCCTGGAGAGAACTAACCTCTGCAACCGTTACTTCTTTCATAAAGGGCTTTAGCTGACACAAGGGCAATACCTCTAAGGCTGCTCAGACCTGGAACTTGTTAGCTCTGTCAGCAACCAACACTAGTCACTGAATTTTGGGGCTTGGCTTCCTCTATGTCCAATACATTTTCTTCCCTCTTTTCTTCTTTTCATACAAATATACAAAGAGTGTAAAAAAAATTTAAAAAGCGAACTTTGCTGATTAAATGACAGACAAAGTTCCTGCACATTCAGAGATTGGCAACGTGAGGCCCACCAGGCAGGCACCCAGCAGAGCTTCCATCAGGGAGGACGGCTTTAACCAAGCTGGGTCAGTGAAAGAGGAGGGAGATCGAAGACATGAACAAGTCATTTCAATCCACCTCGATCCTCCCTGTGATCTCAACTCTTCCTCTGGAAAGCACATGGAAGCCCCTCTTGCCCACTCTAAATCCTTCTGGAAACAGTCAAAAATTTGTTATCACCTAAATTGCAAAGAGTCTGTGTTTGTCCTCTTTTCTAATGGCCCTTTGATCTGTATTAAAAACAGCTCTCAAAGTTCCTCAAGAATTAGAATTAGTGAGGTACGGGTGAGGGGCAGTTTAGATACGGGATGTAAAATATTAAAAAGTGCTCTGCAACTAATTTTTGTTTTATGTATGTATGTGCATGTGTGTGCATATATATACATACACAAACATGCACATACACACACATATATACATATATATATACACATACATATATATGTACGTATGTATAAAGTTAAAAAGTTCTATACGATATGATTAGAATAAGTGTCCTTGGAAGGTCACGACTGGAGAGAGTGGGGCCTGTTGGGATGGCAGATGGGGCACTCGCCCTCCTCGGCGCACGTTTCACACAGCACTGCGTGTTGGCACGGTAACACCACCCGGTTCTCCTCCTGACACTTAAGGCATTTCACTGACTGCATCTGAAATACCGCCTGCAAGAGAGGGGGACAGGGCAAAACGTAAGCATCAAAGTCACAAAGCAAAGGGGCTGCAGTCCTGCACTACACAGTTTGGGGAACAGCAAGGAAGCAGCAGGCGAAGGACATGCAGCTGTCTGCCCATTCATCTTCTGAAGCAAAAGCAAAACAGCATAGCCTGATGTCTTTTAGGACCTTTAGGATCAACAGAGCAGCTTTGACTGACTTAACTCTGCCTTTTAGGCACAAACAAAATGTAGGTATTTCTCTGTAAGCTGGCTAAAACTCACTTTGGCTACACTCACATGGAATTGCTTTGATAGGCTTCTGATTTCAGGCCGTATTAAAGAAAAGAGAAAAAAAGCTGCCATCTGTAGGAGCAGCAAGAGCAAAGCCCTGCCCTGCAAAGCCCTGGCACTCACCTTATCAACTTTCTCCAGGTTTGCCCGCAGCTGTTTCTGAAGGGCATAAAGCGAAGACAGCGAGAGCGTTTCCAGGTCAGAGAAGGAGCGCAGAAACTGAGGGTCCTGGCCCGTGTGGATCCTCTCCAGCTCCTCCTGCAGTTTCTTCACTTGCAGCTCCAAGGCTTCCCTCTGCTCCCGGGCCAGTTCACATTCCATGTTAGCTGTGTTGGCGCGATCATTTGCTTCCTCTGCCTCCTTTTTCCAAGCATCACAAGCCTACAAGTTCCAAAAAAGAGGATAAAAGAAGCAGTCTGAAAATTCGGTCAGCCTCCAAGAGAGAATCCTGGGCAAAAATATCCACTTCCTTACACTCCTCACCAGGAGCATGCTCTGTCCAATCTGCCCTGTTCCCAAATTCTGCAACATCCTTAGAGCTTTGCTTCAAAGCACTGCTCATTCCAGATACCCCATCTGGTCAGGCTGTAGTTCTACGTATTTGGCCCACACCATTAAGGGGATGAACTTTGCATACCAGCAAATTGTCAGGGATCTAAGTCAACTGGCAGGTCTAAGAGACTGTCAAGCACTTCAGTGCATCTGTTAGGACACCTGGCCTTGCACTTCCAGCATCTGAACACATCAGGCACAGTGATTCAGTCCCTCTTTCCAAGGGAGATGAAAGAATAAGAATTCTTGAGAATCTGTTACTAAAACCTACAGCTCTTCTCATCACCTCAGTGTCTGGAGAGCTCCTGTTGAAAGGCTGACACTGTCCTCCTACTCCTTTACACTCCCTAATCCCTCTTCCCAGGAATTGCCCAAATACCTGTTTGGCTTGTTTCCAAGACTCTTCCCACTGCTTTATTGTGCCGTTGGCTTCATCCAGTTCTTGTCGTAGCCGTGCCAGCTCCGCAGCACCTGGACCTGACAGAAATGCAGGTGAGGTACTGGGCGAAAAACTCCCTGAAGCAAAGTGCTCCCATATGCTGCTGTTCATCCCATTTAAACCTGTTTCACAGGGAAATAGAGAGGGTTATGTCACAGGTGCTGGCAATGTCTTCATTTCCTCCCTACCCCTGTGAAATCCAGGATTCAAACACGTGTACATAGGGAAGAGAAGATGATCTTATGAATTACTTTCATCCCCAGGACCCAGGAGTCCATCAGAGAGGGACTTTAGAGGGGAAGTTTCACATCGTTAGGCCTCATCTTTAATGATACAGGTAGGACCCAAGAAACTGAGTGGAGGTAACTTTTGAACCAAGCTGTTTTCAGAAGCATCGATTTTACAGCAGAGCTGACGACCAGCTTGAATCCCTCATCTCATATGAGAACCTCTGAACTGCTTACTATCTTCCCACTTTTTGTGCTGCACAGTCAGTGTTGGTGAACAGATTGGTTCACACAGCCAACCCAGGTGGTGCTTCCTCTTACAGTACGTCCTAAGAAAACTTCTGCTTTTATCTCCTCAGCTTGGGGCTTAGAAAAGGAGTCTCACTTCCCAAACAGTGAGACTAAAATGCACCAACGTCATTACTGTTTGCACATGCAAGGAACAGAACTGGAAAACCCTGTTTATAAACAACTGGAGGCGATAGTATATACATCACCTTCATCCCTGGCAGAGTTCTAGCATAAAGCTATAGTGACTGGCACCGAAGAAGACTAACTACTTCCCTGTTTTAGCTTGTTCATATAATTTCTCTTTTCAGGAAGACATTCAAGGCTTAAGAGAAAAAGCAGTAGAAAACCAGTTGTAAACAAAACTGGTTATTTCTCACAGACTCCAAGGTTTGTACTCTTTCAATAACAGAAATATTTTTACTTAAAATAAGCATCCACACTTTGCACTCAGGGGAGAACTAGTAGGAAAAGCTAGTATCAAGACAGAGCTGCTGAGTGATGTGGACTCTTAAACACACAGACATGCACTGGTTTGATGTAGGAGTCATTTTCATTTAGTGGTGCTCACCACTGGCTGTGGACATTCCGAAATCTAGTTGCATTTGATAATTCTGATCTTATAGCAGCTGAACTGACTGTGTCTGCAAGCAAGTGCTGGAGACAATAGCCTCTCACTGAGGGCTAACCCAGCACCACTTAATTCCCATTTAGTACCAGCCAAGACACAAACAGTTACAAAAAAACACAGCTGAAAAGTAGTAAGTTGTCTTTGTTAATGCGCCTAAGCCCTTAGTAAGTCATTTAGCAGAGCAGCAAGGGACCTTTGCTAGCTCAAGCCACTTACCATAGATTCAGCAGCCCTGAAGTGTGCTAAGTTGAAAGCAAGAAGTTTTAATGGAATCCCAACTCACATTTTGCTTTTAAAACTCCAGTTTTCTTGAATTCCTGTGCTAAGCAGGATGCTGGCAAGCCACAAATTGTGCCATAATGCTGACCAAGCTTATCTTGTCATTTCTTTTTACTCCCTGTTTCCACCTGCTGTTCTCATTTCACATTTGAGGTAGCAAGCCCCTTTGGTCAG